TTGAGCAGATGTGAAACTAACTTTCCCTCAATGGAATATATACTAGTCAGTCCCAGTCACCGTTTCATTCACGGTTTTTTCCATTTGCATTCTGGGTAAAAATCTATCTAAAAGCGTGTCGCCCCCCCCCCCCCCACCCCGCTCGGCAGTTTCAAAGACAGAAAAGACAGACTCACACTGGAAACAAATAAAGTTCATGTACAGATCTGTTACATGTAGCAGTCACCAGCTGCATTTCTAATACAAATGTGCACAAATCGATATACTAATGTCAAAAAAAAAACACAACTGCAGTGTTTCCATCAAATAACAAATAAGTGTTAAATCACACGTGAATAGGTTTGCTCAGGCAAGTCATTAAAGATCATGGCAGCAGTGGATGTAAACAGTTACGTGGAACATATTCAGAATTCAGCCAATCAGAGGAGACGTTGGCATCTTGGAATCAATAAAAAGATGACTTGAGATTCTAATGTATATTGCCACAGACTGGCGACCTGTCCAGGGTGACCCTGCCTCTCGCCTGAAACGTTCACTGTAGACAGGCACCAGCACCCTTCCCGACCCCACTAGGGACAAGAGTGTACAGAAAACGGATGAATGGATTTTAATGTATATAAAAAGGCAAAAAAAAAACCGGAATATTTGGTAGATGGCAATCAGTGATTTGCGGGAATATTTTTACTTTACTGATTAGAGACGCAGAAGATCCCCAGAGGGATTCATGACACAAATGGCCTCTTTAGTTATCCAGAATCCCAGGAGGCACCATGTCGGAGCAGCCCTGTGTGATGAGGCCGTTAGCTTAGTGGGGATGTCTCTTTACTGTAGCAGTTCCACGGTGTGATCCCAGCTGATCAGACTGCTGCAGTTTTACATAAATCAGTTTCCCTGTGGAACACAGACACACTCCTCCTCTGCCCTCTGTGGTTTTGTGCTCCAGATGTTCGCCTGCAGGCAGACAGCAGCAGCCCAGACGGTGCCACCGTGCCCTTTTCCTGCCATATGGGCCTGCTGTCCCACAGCAGAAACTCTAGCTGTGGTTCAATTACAAATGTGCACAAATCTTAGTCAATATTCTGCTGATACTGAAAAAACAAACACAAAAGAAAAACAATTGTGTTTTTTCCATTAGATAGGAAATTCAAATAAAATCACACCTGAATAAGTTTGTTCACTTGATAAGTCATTAAAAATCATAGCAGCGGCCAATTTACATCCAGCTGTTGGTCATGTGACTCATATGATGCAAAAAGGTGTTTCCACTGCAGTTTAGCAAAATCCATCTATTTCAATGCGGCTGAGAAACCACCTCATCCTACCGCAAAAATGTATTATCAAGAATCGTGAGTTTTTATTTTAAATTTTAAAATTTCCATTAAGCAAATTTATTTTTGTAATTTCACACGCACACACACACACACACACACACAGAACAGGTGATTTAAGTTAAGACTTACTTATTCCACGCTTGTCGAAGTTTCTTGGCGCTGTACACTGTAAAGCGTTCTGTAATGAAAAAAAGAAAAATCACCTGCTGTTAATGTCTGAACATAATAATTAGTCTCACAACACAAAGTAAGGCTACAGATCTCAAACAGTAACACATCATGTCCAGATCTAAAGGAATTCAAGAATAGATGAGGAACAAAGTCATCGACTTGTAGCCGTTTCAACCTGGAAACGGCTACAGATTGAAGCGTTTCAACCTGGAAACGGCTACAGAACTGTTCCTAAGGCTGTAGGACTCCAGAGAACCATTGAGAACTGGTATTGGATGGATAATGGGTGGAACAGCGGAGAACCTTCCCAGAAATGGCTGATCCACTAAAACTATTCCAGGAGTTCATCAACAACTCCCCCAGGAAGTTACAGCAGAACCCAAAACAGCATCACCGTCTCAGTTCAGGTCAAAGTTCATGATTCAATGATAGCAAAAAGAGACTTAATCACATTTACAAAAACAAAAACAAAACAAAACAAACAACAAAAAAAACAAGGAAAGAAAAAACAGATTTACAACCAGAAACATGTCAATACAAAGGTTCAGGCCAGAATCCTATTTTAAACAAGTTGGTTTTAAATATTTGTGATAAAACCATGATACTGCATAACCATGGTATCTTTACTGAAGGCAATCAGGCAATCATGTCATGAAAATCCCAAACAGAGTTAGAACCAAGCAGTATGTGAGGACCCAATGTTATGAAGGGCATAAACCAAGGCCTTCTGGCTGTTAGGTTGGAGTCTAACTGTGTTAACAAATACAGTTTGTTAATGTCAGTATTTATTAGCACTAAATACATGCTAATAAAGTACAATCTCATACAAGTGACAAAATGACAAGTTTCTGCAGCCACATCCAGATGGAAGAAAACACAAGTTTAAATAAGAACGCTGAAGTGATGCAGTGGTTAGGTAGCAAGAAAATCCAGATGTCCTAAAACAATATCTGGACTGATAAAATGCTATGAAAACCCAGGCAGAACACTTTCTGCAGTTTCCTGGAAGAATAATTTTCATTTCAGGGTTGTTCTGCGTATAAATCTGCCAAACTGAAGAGTGTCTGATATCAGTTCAGATATGTTTTTAAATAATACCATCTGAGCTATGTGCTTCAGCTATGAGGCCAGACCACATGAAATTGTCATATTTTTGCAGAGTTTGGTTAGGCAGCCTCTTGATTTTTCCACAGTTATGTTTGCTATGCTGGGAGACTGGGAGGCTCAGCCCTGCTCTCTCAAGCTCAGCCAAAGCTGCCATGTGCACTCTCAGTCTGCCTGCCAGCTGACCAGCCACCACACAGACTTCGCCAACCACCCAGCAAGTCAGTCACACACTGATGCCCTAATCCTCCTCACCAAATACCCGGCCAGGGTCCGACATCAGGGCCAACCTGCCAGTGCTGAGAGTCCACCCTCCCAGCTCCCAGCAGGGTGCCGGCCGAACAGAACCCACACCACTGTTGTGTTTTTTGACTGCCCAAACAGTAGCCTGCTTATGTAACAATCCCCATGTGTATTAAAGAAAAGGCCTGTTCACAACCAAGATGGTACACTATGACAGTGAGTAAAGAAATGCCCTTTAAAGAACCACACAAATGTGTCAGGATCAGGCAGAAATAACTCCTCCAATCAGAAGTGAGGTCTAAAGTGTGGCTGCAGTGGATTCTGGGATCAAAAGAAAGGTAGAGAGTATTAATGAGCAGACACAGGAGTAATGATGAATAATGTGATGAATCATGAGCTGAATGTGTGTGATTCTGTTCTAATGGGCACTGACCGGCGGCTCAGAGGAGCTCAGCGGTCCAAAGTGTTGCAAAGCTGCCATCTGCTGGTGATTACTGTCTTTGCAACGAGTCAGGAGGTAAATAACCACTGAAAGACAACCTTCCAGCACAAGTCATATCAACATAGTAGAGTTTTATTTGTTTCAACTACATGACTTAAGGTAAAGTAACACTTAAGGTGTACTGCTCTTCTCAAACAGTTCTAACTACTTCAAACACATGTAGCAAGACTCCAGCATTTTTCACTGTTAAAGCCAATTCTCCAGTGAAATGTTGGAATGGTAATACAGTCAGATTCATTATTCGTATTAGTTTCAAAATAATCCCAGATGGTTGTGTTTTTCCCTACACTGTAATTATCATAGGCTTCCTGGAACTGCCAGCATGCTGGTGTTATCATGCCGAGGTATTAATCACACTCTGTGGCTTTCCAAACACCAACATGTGGTTGTGTTTCAGCAGAACATCTCAGATAGAATCTCATTCTGCCTATATCTGCTGAAGGCAAAGTCACACAGAGCTTGAGGCAGTGCCAGGCTGATCAATGTATGGTGACATGAGACATTTGCTTCATTTATACAGTGCCTGGTCCAACTTCAATTTGCAGTCAAGTTCATTCCATTGCTCAGATCCATAAAAAGTTTTCAACCTGAGGAATCCGAACAAAGTCTGGGTTTGAGGGGACAGAACAGATCAGGCTGGTCAAGAAGAACTTTCTATGTTAAATAAGTAACAACATAATGTTACAAAAAAAATAAGTAGAAGCTCCTTTACTGGCTTCAGCTAGAACAGAAACACATAAACACATCAGTATTATCACATGAAAGAGAGAGTATGTATAACTAGTGGCAGCAAAGCTCTTCCAGTGGCTTTCTCTAAAAGAGAAACAGGTTAAGCACAGTGTCATCTACAGAGACACTGTGAAGTTATTAGTTTTTATCGGAAATGTAAATCTTTCAGTGTCTTGCAATTCAATTCGATTCCAATTCTTAGGGTTAAAATTAAGTTCAGAAATTATTTTTCACAAAATCAATTTCTCAATTCAAATGGTCTAGAGATTCTGTCAGACTGAAAAAGGAAAAAAAAATTACATGAAATTCTGTAACTTGAATTACCAGTGTTAGGTTAGCTTAGTTGCTTTGCTTTTTATTAATTAAAAAAAATATTCAAAATATATCTGGTGGCTGAGCCGGCTTCTGCAGAGTAAGGCAATATGTCACATTACATATGTGACATATTGTGTATGTCCACCTACCTGCTTCCAAGCCAACACCGTCACCGTAGACACAGGACCTGAGCTCACATTAGCATGGGCTATGTGTGCATGTTGGTCCCTAATTGGCCACAGGAGATTGGAGTCTGGGTCACAGTGTACCTTAGGGATGGCTGCTTGCCCGCCACCCTCACCTCTTTTTATATGTTCCTGCCTGCCTCCCCTCTCCTGGATCAGCTGACACTAATCTGAGCGGTACAGATGAACAATTTAAACTTCAAATCAATTTTTGAGAATTTTGAATCGATTCAGAAATCCGACTACAAACTGTGATTCTTTATAGAATTTATTTTTTTTCTGTACCTCCCTGCAGAAAGCAGTCACAGACTAATAATGCTGTAAAGTTTATGTGGAGAGAATAAAACCCAGAAATATTTAGTAACTATAACAACTGCAGACAGTCATGAATGATTGGAAAGCAGTAGGAGAAAGCATCAAAGTTGGTAAAAGTGGTCCGTTTGTCTACCAGCAGGGTGACCAAAATCTTTCCAAACAGCCGACAGATGATGCTACAAAATATGTAAAAAAAACAAGTTTTTTTCTCACTTTTATTCACTATTCAATTACTGTGACTCTTGCTCAGCATAAATGTTGCCTCCTACCTGCTGATTTTACCTGGTTTGAGTTCAGTGGTGGAACATTTTGTTATTATGTTAATATATTATGACTTTGTTAATCTGATGTTCATGTCATAATAATCGTCGATGACATTTTTCATAACAATCTCATCTTTTCATTGTAGGAAAATATGCACTATTTTATATTAATCATACATAAACTTTTATTACATCTCCACAGTTCTGAGGAGTGTGAACAGATTAAATGGGATTTTTCATTTCTTTTCTAATCTTTCCTCCAACTTTCTGAGGATTAACAGGGAGCTACTGAATGAGAAATATGAGTTTTGACTGATGGTAGTTTTGAATGTCTAACACACCTGTGGTCCACCTACCTGCTTCCAAGCCAACACCGTCACCGTAGACACAGGACCTGAGCTCACATTAGCATGGGCTATGTGTGCATGTTGGTCCCTAATTGGCCACAGGAGATTGGAGTCTGGGTCACAGTGTACCTTAGGGATGGCTGCTTGCCCGCCACCTTCACCTCTTTTTATCTGTTCCTGCCTGCCTCCCCTCTCCTGGATCAGCTGACACTAATCTGCAATCGGCCCATAAAAAGCCCTAATGAGCTCCCAGAAGGCATGGCTACCAGCTGGAAGAGCTGGCCTGCTGCAGCTGCTGCTGCTGCTGCTACAATAAAAGAGAACAGTCAGTGTCTCATAGTGTTCTCTCATCCCTTTCTTTATTTTCAACACCTGCTTCATCCATGCGGGGTGGTGTAAGAGCTGCTCCCCGTCTCCACCAATCATTTGGGTGGATAGATGGTCAGTCCATCACAGGGTCAGTTTCTTTCTCAAATTCTTTCTTAAGGAATGGCAGCATTCAGGGTAATTCAAAGTGTTTCACAAGAAGAACAAAGGAGCAGAGATATAACATAAAACAGCTCGAGGCATAATCGCGTAAAGGAAAGAAACGCTAAGATTTTATGTCTCTTTCAAATTTTGGCAAATAAAAAACAGAGGACACATGAAGGCATTCTGTATTAATCTTTGGCCTTGATGGGTTAGCTGCAGAAAACAGTCCAGATGATGTTTTCAACCTGATTTAAAGAAGTCAACAGTTTCTGCACGTCAAGTTTTCATGCAGCAAAAACGCTAAATGATTCTTTATCTCAGCAGGTAAGAGGTGTGACGAGCAGTGGGATGTACATGGTCTGCACCTGACCAGCAGCTAACTTCTTCAAACACAGTGACAGTACAGTGATTAAGGAACTGGTGGAGTGGAACGTTAACTCAGCAGGTCTTCATGCTTATTGTTATTTTTTGCATGGTCGTTCAAATCATTCAAATCAGCAATCAGACCTCTGTGAACAGTTTAACCTGGGATGTTACAGTTTGTTTACAGAAGAAAAGTCAGTCGCTATGATTAACCAATTACCAGGCTGGTTGACTATTATTTCAATAATTGATTCTTCATGATTAAACTGATTAATTGTTTTAGCCCTAGACTAACACACACTAGCCTCAAATAGCCAGAAAGAAAGTCTATTTATTTATTTAATTGTCATTTATGTGTCCTTTGTATGCCACTTTCATTCCTGACTCCAATGTTCTTTAAACTGATTTTTTTTTTTTTTACTTTTTTTAATGTCTGGATCTAGTCTGTCTTTGGGTTTCCAGAATAAGATGGTGAGCTTAGCTTAAGAGGTGCCAGGCTGGAGATTACCCCCAAAGAGGCCAGACAGAGTAAAACAGTGTGGCAGCGCCCTCATTCATTGGTCCTTAACTCTTATATATTGATGGCACCATGGAGGGTCCAGCTTCCTGGAGGTGATCCTAGAAATGATCAAGAGGTCTTTAGTAAGTTTGACCACTTCCATAAAATATGTGCAGTTCTGTAGAGTGTTTACATATTGCCAGGGATGAATGACCTCATCAAAGGCTGCTTTTCTAAGACCAGGGAAAGTTTACAGGATCAGTTCCAAACTACTTAGAATCCAGTGGAGAACATTCCAGACATTTTTGCAACTCCTCTCTAAATAGTCTAAATATTCTAGAGTCTAATGTGAGGTCATCTGTCAGACAGATGAAGATTGGCTTACGTTGAATCTTCAATGTCGTCAACGTTGAGATATAAAGGCCTGCTTCACTGCTCATCTGGATTAGATTAACTTTCTGTCTGGTTTCATCTAAAATGATGGATTGTATTTTGCTGTTAAGTTTCTAAGTTTTTTAAATAAAGGATTATTGGTGCATTCTTTGAGATATAAACCGGACTGGGTTTTGGAACGACGGCTCCAGTTCACAGCCATGACCCATAACAGATGCTAACAGCTCCAGCACAGCTTCAAGAGAAGAAATGTCCCACCTGCTTTAAAGTGAGGCAGGGAGTTAACGCCAGGCCATGTTTCCTCAGACGGAGTTCCAAGAACCTGACAGAGACATGAACAGAGAAGAAGTCAGCACAAGAAAATAAAACATCTTCATCACTAAATACTTTAAAAGTGGTTTATATCCCTGAACTTGTTCTGTTTTTTGATAAACTGCAGTAAAGTTATGCATAGTGTGGCTGGGAAGGAAAATAATTAATGGTTTATACCGCTCTAACGTATGTCTGGCTGTTTGTTCTCAGACTCAGGTCTTGGATTTAACTCTATCCATTCAAAACTGAAAATCGCAGGTAAATGTTTTATGTGACTTCTAAAGCCAGCTTGTTGCACCGGATTTCATTTAGGAGTGTCAGAATAAAGAAAGCTAAATACAAATGAAAGACACAGTTTTCAGATTTTCATTTGAATTGAAAATTAAAATTCATCAATCATTTTCAGTCTTATTCACAATTACAAACTATTTTGTGTTGGTGAGTCATACATTTCAGTTAAGCACATTAAGCTTTGTGACAACATGTGAAAAAACAGCTCAAACACCAAGAGAATTCTTATAATATGTATTATGAAGCGTAAACATATAAACATATCTTTGCTTGTGAACTACAGTATCTAACATTTTTCATAAATCTCAGAGTGAAATTATGTGTTGCTGATAATATGTCATATGTACAACAGACACAAAATGAGTTTTCTCTCAGAAATGGATATGGATGTTAATCCATCTAATTTTAATTAAGATTTTTAAAAAGTTTTGTGTTGTTCGTAGAATATTCCTGATTGTTGCAACTTTTATAGGCGACTCAGCCTGAGTTCTCACGCACACAGGCTGGGTTTATGATGAGAAAGCACAGAGCAGCGGACATGCCTTAGACATGATCCATCACAGCTTTACAGCATAATAGTTTCCAGATTGCCTGCATGTCTCAGATCAGCAGCACACTCCGCACAGCAGAGATTTAAGCAGCTTACTAAGAACACAACCTATGCAGAGATTGGATGAGAGTGTGGTTGTGGGAGCCATCCGTTTCAGGCGAGTGTGTAGGAACAGCTGAGAGACAACAAGAGGAGAAGAACCAAAAGAGGCAGTATGAGGTTTTCTCTATGCACAGCAAACATGGCTCTGCTTAGAGTCTGGCCTGACTGGACTCATTTTATTTTAGTCTCAATATATTATAGACTGACGAGTCAAAAATATTTTCTCCTAAAAGACACAAAAAAGGCAATGATTTGATGCAACCTAGACAGTTGATGCAATAATAACAATCACCCACCAGAGGGCAGTGCGAGCTCACAAAACAAGCTTCATATCATCAACTTCCTAAAATAATGGCCCAAGTCATCTTTGGTCAAAAGTGATTCAGACAAAAACAAAATAATCTGTTGTTTGCCTTTTGGCAAAAAATAACTTACACCATTGTTTTAGGAAGCTGACAATATGATATTATGGGAAGAATACAGCTTTTAAGGATGAGTTTTTTGTTTGTCTGGAACAAGAACATCCATCCATTTTCTATACACCCTTGTCCCTAGTGGGGTTGGGAGGGTTGCTGGTGCCTCTCTCCAGTTAACGTTCCAGGCAAGAAGCAGGGTCACCCTGGACAGGTCGCCAGTCTGTCGCAGGGCAACACAGAGACAGACAAGACACACAACCATGCACACAACTAGGGACAATTTAGAGAAACCAATTAACCTGACAGTCATGTTTTTAGACTGTGGGAGGAAGCCGGAGTACCCTGAGAGGACCCACGCATGCACAGGGAGAACATGCAGAAAGCCCCCGGGCCGGGAATCGAACCCAGGACCTTCTTGCTGCAAGGTGCTACCAACTGCGCTACTGTGCAGCTCGAACAATAACATGCCCTGGTGAAAACATGTACAGAGCTAGTTTGGATGATTTCAAGGATCAATACAGTTTGTATTTGTTTAACTTTTCTGTTGTTTGTATGGGTAGATTTTCTGAACCAGATTAAACTGCTAGAGTTGAGGGTTCAGTGTGGCATGTGAGTGGATCTTTGGTTGACAGAGCTCAGCCTCTTCTGCATTATTGATGCAGCACTTTGCTGACCTTTAAAGTGATGGGAGGGTGGCAGTGGGTGGAGGGCATGGCGGTGAATGTTCAAGGTTTTATAATGATGGAGACGAGGAGCAGCATCAGCAGAGCTCAGGAGGAAAACAGACCTAAAGATCAGCCATTTAAACTGGCTCCCTTCCTGCACTCTGAACACTAGCTCAACTGAAACAAACACTGATGAATGAAACTTTATGTAACCCACAAGTATACACTCATAATTAAAGAGAGTATTGAAAGTTACATTTAGAATTCATATATGTTATGACCAACTTCTATAGAAGAGGATTAGGACCATCTGAAATATTTGAACATGTCAAAGAAAACAAGATAGAACATATTTATAAATGGGAAATTTCTTAGCACTATACTCTGGTTCCACTGGTGTTTTGAAAGTGACTTTTGTTTCTGGTTTAGGCAATCCTCAGTGTCTGCATCCTCGAAGGAAAGAAAATGTCAATGTTTCTCCAGGCCAGTGAGCTCCAGGTCAAGCACAGGCAGGATAAAGGATATGATGAAAGCCAACGATCAGGGAGCCGGGAGGAATATACTCATCCAGGAACATGAGCCAGCGTCGGGACGGGGCATGTCAAGATGGAGATGGCTTGTTTTACTGAGGAATTCATGTGAGGTCAAAGGGCATGACCCTGAGCTCTACACACACATTCTGCTGCACACATACCAGCCCTCCACTTCCATCACACACCCAGGATAGGTTATAGACCACCCAGCCAGGCGTATCTGACCTTCACTCTGGGACCCCCAATTATATTTCTGTTGGCAGAGAGGGGATGAAGAGGTTGGAGCGGTGTGGCTGGCGACTGTGCTGAAAATGGGTCAGGACAGCTGACAGACTGACAGGAGGTGTGTGAGTGTGTGGACTGAATCTGGGTCACGGACTGTGTCCTGCCTCCAGTTTTACTACCACAGGATTCATTTCCCATAAGACAGAATCAAAAATCATTCATCTGAATGCGTGGGAAGGTTTGAAATCCATCAAACTGTATTCTCAACAGCAGGAAGCGTGGCTCCACATGAAGATCATCACGTTCACATCCTCAGCATCCATTACAAGGCTGGTTGAATATGTAATGGTAATAAACAATATGTTTATTTAACAGACATGTTAACCACAGGAAATACATTTTTTGCCTTTATTATTCCTGTAGAACATGAGGGTTTGTTCGGTAATTTAATCATGGATGTTGGAGAATCACCGTTTCTGACTCAGATGTGACTTTCTTTAAATCAAATGATCTCCTCTGATAATTTGGTTTGCTCATGAACATTCATGTTGGCAGATAGAAGCTTCATGATGATGCCCTCTGGAGTCAATTTGATCAGAAAATTCAGTTTATGCATTTATATAAATCATTTGTTGATTTGGTTAATCTAGAATTACTTATAAAATATTGTAAGATCAAAGCTTGTACTACTGTAGTTGGATAACATGGAGATCTCTGTTTCAAAGGAAACATGTTTTTTTATTTTATAAAAATTATTGATAATTTGTTTTTTTATTTGACTTGTGTTTGCTTAGGTTAATATCCTGGTAACAGAAACCTTCATTTTTTTTTAAGTTCACTTCTTCTTACTGTTCTTACTTCTTACTCTTCCACATCCATAACCACTGGAACAGGAACAGCTTCCCTTTGTTCCATAACAGTTTTTATGCCTCATGCTAACAGAAACTGGACAGCATCTCTGCAAACAGACTTCACTGTTATCTGAACTGTTGCAGTTTATTTTTTTAATATCACCAGATCTACTCACACTAAGCAGCAGTTCTGTTTCTGTGCAAACTTAATGTTTTCTGGGTTTTTCCGGTTGGAATTGAACCTTCCTCACATATCAGCTCTTTAATCCCAACATAAATCGACCCTCTGACCCCGGCCCAGCTGCATCCCACTCTGCCTCATCCATATTCTCTAACACTATGTCCTATAGCTGACCCCATGTCTCAGCTTCTCTGTTCCAAAACTAATCTCCCACTCTCTTATTGGGGTCACCCCTGGGGGGCCGCGGGTCAAACCAATCAGAACCACAGCCAACTGGATCAGCTGTATCCCACTGTGACTGGGTGGAGTGTGTTCTGTAGACCCTAATGCAGGAAATCCAAACACAGTGGCTGACTGTTGGTGAAATGATGCTCACACATACACACACACGCATGCCCACGCACACACACGCATACACACTTCTCTGTGGACAGCTATGGGTGCCATGCAGTGCCTTTATGTGTTGTGATGAAGTCCTTCATGGTTTTTTCTGAACTGCATCTTGTAGAGAATATTCTAGCTGAAGTATGCTCTCTCTCTCCAAGAAGCGGCTCAGATATGGTCATGATTTATATTTTTTCATATTCCTTTGCCACAACAGACTGGAAGAAAGCTGAGCTGATCAATCTATATTCCTACCCTCATCTACGGTCATGACCGCTGACACAAGCAGCTGAAATCAGTTTTCTCTGCACAGTGTCTGCCTCTCCCTCAGAGAAAGGGTCAGAAGCTCGATCATCTGGAGCGACTCAGTAGAGCCACTGCTCCTTCATGACGAGAGAAGCTGATTGAGGTAACTCAGGCCTATGATGCCTCCTGGACACTTCCCTGGTCAGGTGTTCTGGACTAGCCTAGTGCAAAGCAGAAACAACTGCTTCATGGAGCCATGGATCTGATTTGCCATATCGCTAACGATTGCCGTGTCGTATGTAATGCGCCAGCTGTGCTATGAAGCTAACCGGAAATTAAGTGCGCTGCGAACAACCATCAGCCAATGTGAAGAGAGACGTGCCGAGCCAAATTACATGTTTGCCAGGAAAAACATGTCTTACTTCAACTTTAATTTCTCAATATTTAGAAGGTTGCCAACACAAACCGAAAGGCCTTATTCACTTCTTTTTGCTAACACTGCCAAGCTACAACAGGCAGACTAAATCCAAATCCTCAGTGTCACAAATACAACAGTTTGATCTGAC